ATCTTAAATCGACTCCCCCCTGTAGTGTAGATGTACCCTAAGAGAGGCACTGAGTTGTAAGTAGGAAGAAACTGTATGATTTATGTCCACAGATGGCAGGCTAGCTCTGTTTGGCATGATCTTCAGGAAAGGCCACATGTGGCTGCTCTCTCAGGCTATCTCCTTTTAGCTCCCACAAAATAAAAATGTCCAAAGACAGGAGGCAGTGGAGGATCCAGGTAATAGCCTAGCAGTACAGGAAGTAGATGAGAAGGTTAGTCTTGGCAAGGGCTGCAAAAAGAAAAGAAATAGTTCATAGCCAGGGTCATAAAAATATTTGGATGGGTCCCCAAAGCACAAATTCAAATGAACTCCCCTTTCCCCCTTATACAACCTGGAAGTGCCTTCCTTTCCACTTCTTACCCCTTTTTTCTCATCCACCTAAATGAGTATCTTAACTTACATCAGCATCTCTTTATATTCCCCCTTACAAAATCTGTGGCTATGCACCTCTCCTTAAGTCTCCCTCAAATGCCTGTTGACAAAGTCTACAGCCTCTGTCTACACCGTGCCTCCAAGTTCACCTGTCCATTTCCTGAATCCTATGCTCTTCCACAGTACAGCTCCTTACTTACTATATCTGCTGGTGGTTGGTGAAAGAGACTATTGCTGCTTGTCTGCTACCACTTCAGCATACAGTCTCCTAATGTATGTTGCTTTCACGGCTAGCTAAACCAGAGGCTGCAAAAGAAACTTGGGGAGTAACAGGAAGACATATTAGAATGAGATGCACATGCAAGCCACAGCAGGAGCCCCTGCAGTGAGGGTAAGCTATATGACTGATCTCCCTGCTGCTCTAGTCCCTGTTTGCAGTTTCTCCTCCATCCTCCCCAGGCTAATCAGATGGGAAGGAGGTTGGCCCTTGGAACCTGACTCTTCCCACTGTAATAGTTATGGCTCCTGCACAGCTACTTGGAATCATGGGCATCAAAGTACCATTGGGGCATTTATAATGGGATTTATGCTCCTTTCTTTGTCTTCCAGCAGCAGGACATCTGCAAGAAGGCTGATGATAGCCCACTCATCCATCTGGTGCAGAAGGGAGATGTCTGCTGGCAATGATGGAACCCATCAGAACATTTTACATACAAGTCCAAAAACAGTTACTGTACACATTTTTCAGATCCAATTTAAACCACTGCCTCGTATTCCCAGTGCATGGAAATGAATCTGTAAGATCTGTCATGCCAGAATATAGTGTCTTCCCCACAAGGACAAGTTTTTCCTAGTGAAATTCATCCATCTGGATTAAGTGTTTGAAAAGCTTCATATCTGTGCTGTTTTTATGCTGAGCTCTTAACCCTGTTCATTCTTCTCATGACTCTAGGGCCAAATCTTCTAGCTCAGCTTTCCAAAGGCTTGCTGCAACATTGCATGCCCCACATTTTTATGTCATAGAGTCTCTCTGAGGAAGAAAAATGTTTGTCTTTTAAATCCTGCCCCTCTCTCTGCGTAAAGAAAAAAAGTTCTTTTAAACAGAGGTTAGCGGCAGAACAAACGTTTCTCCTTCTTGCCTATCACCTCTCCCCAGCTTTCTTAACATCCTTCACTTCACTGCCTCCTGCACAGACTCTTCAATATTACAGAATACAGTCTGAACTTCACCCTTGGAGGCAGATGAAGAGCAGGAACAGGCTCCATATTAACTACCACTTAAAAAAGTCCTTAAAAGGCTTCCAAACTATACAAGAGGAAAGAAGTTAACTCTATAATAGTTTTCTCAACTGAATACAGATGACAGCTTTAACGATAGCTTTAAGGAATAGTGCAGTGCCATCACATCTTACATTTGAGACCCTTACAGTGCTTTTTGAACATTCATGCATTAACCCTCACAACATCCTTCTGAGGTCATCACTAGGAACATCACTAAGGAACATCACTAAGTTAGCTTTAAAATGTCTAATTTTTTCTTATCCAAGCTACTGATTTATTCTTCATACCTTGATTTGAAATCTTCTCTTGAATTAGCTTTGAATCATAGTAATGTAGGGCTGGAAGGGACCTTGAGAGATCATCAAGTCCAGCCCCCTGTGCTGAAGTAGGACCAAGTAGACCATCCCTGACAGGTGTTTGTCCAACCTCTGCTTAAAAGCCTTCAATGATGGTGATTTTACAATCTCCCTTGGAAGCCTATTCCAAGGTTTAACTAATTTTATAGTTAGAAAGTTTTTCTTAATATCTAACCTAAATCTCCCTTGCTGAAGATTAAGCCCATGCCTTCTTGTCCCATTACATCTGTTTTTAAGGGGACACTATTGATGGGAGGCAGTGAATTCATGTTTCTGAGGGACACGCAACTAACATGCCAGCTACCATAAACTCCAACTTCATTCTATTCTCTATTTCTAAATCTTCTCTTAGAAAATAACATGCCCTAATTTTATTTATATTAATACTGCTGCAACATGATACCTTTCTTTTCTGTTATTCCTGTTCAGCAGCGTCCACTGTCAAGTAGTTTGAGATACTATATATAAATAAAGTGCTATAAAAATAATAGGAAATTTGACTGTAGTTCAGAGAATCCCTCCTTCAAACCAAGGCTTTGTACAAATTCCTGAAATTGGTCACATATTTGGTTCATTAGCTAATGCCTGGAAAAATGTCTGATGTGGCCTCAAATATCATTCTGTGCACAGACATATTTCTGAGACCCCTGTTTGCCTGCAAGAAATAACCTTTATTAGTCCAGTATGCTAATAAGGACAAGCCCTTCAGGCCTTCCGCCCCACTACATTGTCCCATTCTCATAATCATCTGTACCTCATGCCCCTTTATTCTTTTAAGTCTTGTTCTAATTATATGTCATTACCATCTCTGGTCTAAAGAGAAAATGCTTTGTGGAA